TTTGGTAGCCAGTTGCGTCTACTTCAATATTTATACTTGAAGGAAGGACATATTTCGGTCTTAAAAAGGTTTCTAATTATTTTCGTTGGGACCGTGCAATGTCCGTCCAAATGGTATCGTGTCTGTTCCTTTATTCATGATCTACACGATTATACGACATAGTACACAATTGCAATATTTCCTTATCCGTGTGTGGCATAGAAGAATGCATGATTTTTCTTAGTGCAAACGAAACGGCAGATCAGGCTTAAAATTACTGGTTAATTGGGAAACTGTTTAAAACCTAGATATACGCTTCTTCCGAGTATAAAGTCTGAAGAAAAAGTGGTTTCCTACCAAATGCTACAATAAAATGTATTCTCGTGCATGTTTTCTTGATTTAGAAGGGTGCCGGAAATCATTGGAAAAAGTACATATCAATTAAGTGGTCATTTTTTACTGAGTGGTGTTTTTGCAGACGATCAGAAAGAAGCTAATTCGAAGACCGACGTCTCGGCGTGCTTGAAGCATCATGTGATAATGCCGCCTATTAATCAATATTGCTCTTGTCCTTCCTAATTAAAGACGCACTTCCGAATTCCGGTTAACTATTCATGAGATCGGTCACTGGCTGTGAATAACAAAGAAGGAAACGGGGATGACTGTTATTAGCCTACTTAGAGCTTGCAAGCTCATGGATTCGTCCGATTATTCGTTTGTCTTTATTACAAATGGTTAAGAGAACTGTAAATCTGCAGTACAGATAACCGGGGTACGTTCCATGCGGAGATCACTCTGTAGACATAGCAGTGCAAGCAAACTACCGTTTCATATTTGTTTTCGAGCACGTGGGTAGGCGAAACCGCTTGTCGGAATCCAGCCGTCAACCCTCATCCTCTGAAAACAAACGATGGAAGTCGTTTACTTGTATGATTGTGTGTACGGGATGACCTACGCAAGGGGAGAACCCACGCTATGTCTACTTCAAAAGCCTGCCGGTAAAGAAAGCTCAACTATTATAAGAGGTGAATGCGACTGTTAAAAACGGCCACTCGGACCGGAGCATGGTCCCTGTTTGGCCCCACCCTTGGCATGAGCCATGTGCTAACAGGGCTGTCAGTCAACCATACGCCAATCAGGATAAATCGGCGGAATCTTCCCCACGCAATACCGAATATCCCCTACCGCAGCCACCTACATACCGCCCCAGGGCTCACTTCTAGAGACCTCTTTTCGAAAAAAGAGAACCCTACTTGGAGCTGATGTTGTCCAATAACTTAGGAATTAATATCTCCGTCGTCCCCGTGATTGCAGTTTGCACTTTCAGATCAGCGACTACTCGTCCCTTCGCAAGGACCTCTGTGGGTCCTAGCGGGAATTCCCAAAGTAACACGGGACGACCGTATTACTACCTACAAGCAGGAGTGATAGGTGAACGCGGCTCCTATAGGTCCCAGTCTTGCAGGACCTGAAAGAGATTATTGAATTTCCATTCGATTTTACTTACAGCATAAAATGATTCATAAGCTCTGATGAGCAAACCATCCACTGAGGTAGGCATAGACCACTTATGGCTTATAGGACGACTTCGAAGAAGAAAATCCGACAAAAGAACGCTTGAGCTATTTGGGTAAGCGCCACTTTCTCTGCCAGTTCGGGATTGAGTTCACAACGAAAGGTGAATGTGCGTTAGGAATCATTTATGCCCTGCAGTTCATTAAGTAGAGGAGGTCTACCAGTGCCAGCTTAGCGACTGGAGCTCTACGTGCGAAGGCAAATGGAGGCAGCTATCCCGGGCTCGCTGAGCAACTGAAGGTGGAGTTTCTCCCCTGATCCCTAGTACCACCTGCTAGCAGTAGTTTCTACCGATTTAACCCATTGACCGACCGCAACTTATCCAGTAGGCTTTATTCTAGGTATCGATAGAACGACCACTATAGAACTGTATTGCTTTCGTTCGAGTGACTGCGCCTGATTATTCGCAAGTACAGTAGATGTACTATCCCATGAAATGTTAATGGAAATTTCGAAATCTTATCGATTCGAGATTACTTAATAAGTGAGACTGTTATATTGACTTTCGTGCAGAATATTCGCAGGATATTTCAGCCACGCCAGGGCTCGGACTTTTGAATGAGCTTCTTTTCGGCCGCCAGCAAAAAGTATTACTTAAGTGGCATGAATTTTCCATCAACTTTCGACATCTCTTTAAGTTCAGACATGTTCTATGGAGACCGTGCACAACACAGTCTTTTTGTGCTCATTTGGCAGTGAATAACGTCCGAGTTTTTTTACCCAAAGGAAGAGTGTGTTTGGATTTTAAAAAACCTACTAATTTCGAACTGTTAATACAGCACCGCATCAGCACGTCTATTAATGATACTTACAAAGTTTGCAACCTGGTCCACATCCATCACACAATTTTATGACTCCTATGCGTTGTCTTCCTAACTGCGTGTGGAAATACGTGATACTCCTTTGGCGGAATGTATACAGCATGTAGGTTGGAAACCCTGAATGCAGGTCTA